GGGTGATGGTGTTGCGGAAGTGCAGCAGGGCCAGCTGCCGCACCGACGGCTCCTTGCCCTGCGGACAAGCCCCGCCCACCGGTCAGAGACCCGCCCTGCCTCCGCCCCCTCCGGTCCTGGGGCCAGACACAGGGGAGGACCCGCCACCCCGCGCCAGGAAGGGTGCTGGTCACACACAGAGCCCCTACTAGGCGCTGGGCCTACTACGTGCTGCGCAGGCTTCCTAGGGCCTTAGGAAGGGGCAGACCTGTTTCCATCTGTGGGCGGGAACCAGTTTGAGTGGCACAGACAGCGAAATGGGGGAGGGGCAGAGGGCGTGCCCGGGGCAGGGAGGGGAGGGGAGGGGGCGTGCCCGGGGCAGGGAGGGGAGGGGGCGTGCCCGGGGCAGGGAGGGGAGGGGGCTGCCCCCCAGGCTGAGGTCTGGAGTGAGGCGGCTCACCTGCACCGGGTAGAAAATGGCCTGCAGTGTGGGCAGCACGTCGCTGAAGAAGAAGTCCCACGTCTCGGCCAGCGAGTCCAGCAGCTTCTGTCCTGTGGGCACAGGGAGCCGTCACCGCCTGTGCCGAATGGGCTCGGCAGACACTTCGTGCCCTCCCAGGCCAGAGGTCATCCCTCCGTCCACGGGAGGGTGCAGCAGCTCAGGCGGGGTTCCGGGGTCAGGAAGCGCCGAGGCAGGCCCCCGAGGTCAAGGGCACAGAGCACGTCCGTGCCTCGGCTTCCCCAGTAGTAACATGGGCAGTAACAACAGGCCCCCCCCCCAGAGCCGGAGGGGTGACATGAGCTAGGGCAGAACAAATGCCGGCGGGTGCCTCATCCGACCCTCCTGACCGCCCCACCAGGGACGTGAATCCATCCACCCATCCGTCCACCCTTCTCTCCCTCCACTCACCCGCCAGTCTGCACATCCCACAGATGTTTACATCCTACACGGCACCAGGCCTGACACCCCCAGCTGAGCCCCAACAGTCCCAGGCCCATCACATGACAAAGAAGCAGGACACTGGACAGCAAGTATGAGGACAGGACAAGGGGTGACCTCACTGGACAAGTGAAGAGACCAAGCCTCCGAGAGGTTCAGTCTCTTTCTCAAGGGCCTGGGTCCCTGCCAGCCCAGGCTGCCTGAGGAGGGATCTGTGGAGCCAGGGAGACCATGTCCAACTGTAGCAACATGCCCCTGGTAGAAGAGAGGAGGAGAGGAGGAGAGGAGAAGGCAGGGAGGGCTTCTTGGAGGAGGTGCTATCCAAGATGATTCAGGATGGCTTGCCGGACTGACTGACACCCTGGGTGTGTGAACCACAAAAGCAGATGTGTGGAAAGTAGGCAGTTGGACAGGCTCTGCAGGCATTTCTGCCAGCCCTGGGAAGGTGCAGTGCCACCCTCAGGGTGGACAGTCCCTGGGGGATGGGAGAGCCGAGGTGTCCCCAGGCTGGCTCCGGGATCCCCCAGGAAATGCAGAGTGCTGACCCCTCAGCCTTTCCACTGGAAAGAGCAGAGTTAGGATGAAGAGCCACTGGGGCCAGGAGGAGCCGACCCCCACCTGGAAGCCAGACTAGTCATCAGCAGGGGCGTGGTGGGCGTCTCCGGGTGAGGAGGGGCCAGTGCCCCTGGCTGGCAGGTCTCCCAGACTGCACTGCTTCTGCCTGGCTGCTGGAGGTTTCCATGGGAACGAGAGCCAGACAAGAGCCTTGGCCTCTCCTCTCACTTTCCTTGGGCTCTGGGCCCCACTCCCTCCGCCCGTAAAGTCTTGGGGCTGTTTAGGTGCTGGGGCTCTGGGAGGGGAGCCTGGTGGGGGCCGCCCGGGAGGCCCAGCCCAGCCGCGAGGGGGGTCCCGCCTCTGTGTCTGCTGGCATGAGGCTCCCGGCCTCCCCGGGGGCCCACACCTGGGTCTGTGGTGGGACGGGGTGCTTGCAGCCCCAGAGGCTCTACCAGAACACAGAGGTCCCTTCAGGTCCCGCCATCGCCGGCAAGAAGAAAGACAGCTCAGTCCCCAGGCCGGCTGTGGGGTGGCCCTGGGCGCAGGCCAGGCCAGTGTCCGCTGAGCTCGGGCCACTGGCCGGCCCCCGGTTGGAACCGCAGCAGAAAGCAGATGATGTAAAACACGGAGTCCAGGCCCGGCCAGAGCCGCACGCCGGCCGAGGCCGGGAGCAGTCTCACTAGCTGGCCAGGCTTTCCGTTGGGGATGTGGTTTGGGGGCGCTGGGGTTGTCGGGGGTGACAGTAGGCTGCAGTAGTCCAAGCCTTGCTGTGGGGCACCAGGGGAGCCCCGCACCCGAGCCTCAGTGCAGTTCCCTGTGAAATGGGCGCAGGCACCATCCCGCGTGCACGGGGCTAAGAGAAGACGCTGGCTGTTGTCACGACGACCAGGTGAGCTCTGTCCCTGCTGACGTCAGCAGGACCCAGGCAGCGTGGCGGCCGAGCTGGTTCTGCCCCGGGTGGGTCCGTCTTCCTTCACCGTCTTCCTTTCCTGAGTGCTGAGGGCCAATGTGAGGGCCTGGAGACCAGAACCAGTGGGCGTCGGCTCGGCCTCCGCCCGTCTCAGGAACGCTCGGGTGACCACGGGCCTGGCTGCTGAGGGGGTCGGCAGCTGCAGCTGCAGTCCACCTGTATCAGCCATCACGCTGAGACCAACCTACACGTCGGACGGGTCCCGGGGAGGAGCCTCCACCTCTGGGCTGGTCTCCAGGCAGGCTGGCGAGAGGGGCAGGCGGCGAGGGCCTGGGGCTGCCCCCTGGCCCGCAGAGGCACGGGCGAGGGCAGGCGGGCACAGGCGGGCACAGGCGCAGTCTCCAGAGCGAGCTCTTCCTGCGGCCCAGCCTGGGTGGGAGGTGAGGAGGCCCTTGAGGCTGTCCTTGGGGTGGGGGTCGGTGATCATTCCCAGGGCTGGAGGAGGCCAGACGTCGTCCTTACCTGACCCCACTCTGAGGCTCTGCGCAAAGGCCACCGCCTCCTTGCAGCCCTCCCTGACTGCCAATGTGAAAATAATCCGTTCTTCCCAGGGCTCCCTTCGCCCTGACATTTGGCACACTGGACTTGCACTGTCTGGCCCTTGGATGTGAGGCCCTGCTAGGGCAGGGTCTGGGTCTCCTCCATTTCCAGGTCCCCCAGGCCATCGGGGCCTGACCACCCCGCAGTGCTCAGACAGGGAAATGTGTCTGTGGCTGGACGGGAACCGGACACCAGGCCCTCTGGCCTCCAGCCTGGGGCTCCGGTCCGTCCCTGAGGCCTGGGGTCTGGACCGGGCTGGCACTCCCTGCTGGGTGGCCTGGCGGGCTCGGCACTGTGGGCAGGAGTCCACCGAGCCGCACAAAGCTCCCCTTCTCCGCCGATCCCAGCTCCCCTGGGCTGCAGCTGGTGGGAGGCGCAGACACCGCCGGAATGTGCCGAGTCAGGAGAGGGGCGTGGGAGGGCGTCTCCCCCAGGTGCTGCGTCCGCGCTGGCCCGTCCTGCAGGTTTAGGTGTTGCCTCCTCCAGGAAGCTGGCCCAGGACTCCTGGGGGCTGTCCCCCCGCCCCCACCTCTGGGGTTCTCATGGTCCTTCTCAGGCTCCTGCCTCAGCCACGTCCACGGATACGCACAGAAGGGGCGTGGGAGGAGCGGGACACGCAGCCCCGAGCTCACCCAGAGCACACCAGGCCCCAGTGTCCTCTGCACAATGGACTCACACCCCCTTTAGGGTCAGAGTGGGGACCTGAGGAGGCATCCTGGGCGGCAGAGAAGAGCGTGGGCTCAGGAGCCAGGGTGCCATGCAGCAGCCACGTGGCCTGGGCACCACTGAACCCACCGTGACTCGGTTTTCCCGCATGTTCAGTGGCTACAACATGGTGCCTTCTTCACGAGGTTGGGGGGCAGGGTTCCAGTGAGTTAGAGTCAGGACAGAGTCTAGCAGAGTAAGCATGTGCCCGGTGCTCGGTGCATAGCAGGTGCCCAACAAGCACCCACGGAACCCGAACCCAACACAGCCTGGCACACAGCAGGCCCTTGGCAAAGGCTATCGGCTTGGGCTGGGTCCTCCAACACTCTGACCTCTCCCTAGCCTAAGGAGGCACACACTTTGGTTGTTGCCCCAGGGCCCACGGATGTCGGGAGCCCGAGGGTGCCGGGCCACGGCCCGGGCCGCTGAGGCTCAGGGCCTGCAGGAGGGAGAGACAGTGGTCGGCCAGGACCCTCCCCTACTTGCTGAGGCCTGAGCCGAGCAGAGACTGGATTGTATGGGCCACGAGAAGGGCAAAGGGTGTGTGCTCCGGAGTCAGGCTGGCCCGGGCTTGAATCCCGCTGCCTCTGCTCCTATCTGTGGGGTGGCCATGGACAAATCGCTTGTCATCACTGGACTGCTCCCCAGCTGTGCAACAGGGACAATGACCCAAAGGCCTCATGGGTGGGGTGGGCATTAAAAGAGAAAACTCCCTGCCCAGCCGGTGTGGCTCAGTGGTTGAGCGTCGACCCTGCACCAAGAGGTCGCCGGTTCGATTCCCGGTCAGGGCACATGCCCAGGTTGTGGGCCCAATCCCCAGTGGGGGGCGTGCAGGAGGTGGTCAATCGATGTTCTCTCTCATTGATGTTTCTACCTCTCTGTTCCTCTCTCTCTCAAATCAATAAAGGAAAAAAAAAGAGAGAGAGCTCCCAGCGCGCCCAGCAGAGAGGCCCCAGCAGCCCCACCCAGGCATCGGCACCTGCTCCAGCCTCAAGCCACTTCCCCGCGAGCCTCGGAGGTCGGCGGCTCTCTGGCTGCTGTGGGCAGCGGGTGCGGCAGAGGCCTTCTCCGCGACCTCTCTCGGGCCTCCTGGGCCAGGTCTCAGCCTTGCTGCCCCTGACGCATCGCTTCTGTCCCCCCCAAGCAGGAGAGCCGTGACCTCCCGCCAGGACCTGGGGCCGAGGCGAGGCCGCAGCGCGTGGCTCCCACAGGCTCCTGCTGCGCCGCCGTCCCTGCGCTACCACGATGCCCAGCGGCCACCCACCAGCAGTGCGGCCCCGCACACCGGCCCGGCCACGGGCTGCCACTCACCCTCATAGAAGCGGATCTTGTCCCTCAGGATCACCATCCCTTTGGTCAGCAGCTGGTTCTGAAAGGCACACACAGAGACGCTGTCACCGCCGCGGGGGTGCCCTGGGCTTCCCAGCGAGCAGGGCCCCCAGGAGTCCACCACCACGCAGCCGAGGCCCAGGAGGGAAGGGCTCACGGACATCCCACCTCGGCTGCCACGGAGCCTGAGCCTCAGCTCCCCCCGGGGGACACGACAATGACCCACCAGGGCCTGTGACAAGGCAGGCGGCGCCTGGAGCCTCAGCTGAGCCGACCGGCAGGCAGCCTCTGCGCCACAACACGGGGGGCCGGGGGGCCGGGCCTGCGTCAGTACCGTGGGGCGCACACCACGGGGCCCTGTGCATGCTGCCCTGGGCACTGGCTGAAGACGGATGCCACCCTGTGGGCTCGGCACCATTCACAACAGCCGAGGCATAAATGCCCCAGCCCCCACCCACAGGCAGGGGGACGCACAAACGGGGTGCACCCAGACAGTGGGGTATTTGGCTGTAAAAAGGAACGAGGCATGGAAGAACCTCAAAAATGCTGTACTCAGCGAAAGAAGCCACACACAGAAGGTCACAGTGTGTGAGTCCATCCCCTGCAATGCCCAGGCTCGGAAAATCCAGCCAGAAAGCACCTCAGCCAGGGGCTGCGGGGGAGGGGAATGGGGGCTGATGACCAACTGGGGTTTCTTTGGGGGGGGGGGGGTGACGACATGTTCTGGAATTAGACAGTGGTGAAGGTCACACAACTGTGTGAACACACGAAACACACTTGTCCACTTTGAAGGATAGCAGGTGAACCGCGCCTCCACCAGGCCACGTGACCGCGGCAGGTCCGTGTGCTCAGCAACCCAGCAGGCCGGCCGCCCCGATGGGGGCCAGGAATGCCATGCATGGCAGCGCCTGGGACAGAGGGGCCTGGGCGACACCGACACCCCGTGGACGCCGGGGGTCCCACTGACATTCCGGGAGGTGCACCAGCAGTAACAGAGCTGCCCCGAGTCTTGCCAGGCACCAGGCGCAGTGCTAAGGCTTCACCTGAACCTGATCGTGCAACCTGCACAACCGTCCGCGGTGGCTAAATGGGGAAACTGAGTCACAGCGCGGCGGAGGCCCAGGAACTAGTGTTCCATGTGGCCATGGAGAGGAAGTGACCCCCGTCCCTCTGGCCAGCTCAGGACGCAAGACCACCCACCTGCAGGTACTCCGTGAAGAAGGACCCCAGCTCTGTCTTCAGCAGCTGCCTGTGGGCCGGAGGAGACAGGAGTGAGGCGGTGGGAGCCGGAGCCCAGCAGCGGCAGCAAGGGGGCCCCAGGAGCTCCGCCGAGGGCCAGCGGGACACAGCCCCTCAGCCCGATGTGAGGGCTGGGCACGTCACTTCCCACAGAGGGAGCTGAAGGGTCCCCAGGGAAAGGGGCCAGTGCGGCCACTATCTCACAGGTTCTTGGGAAGACACCGCTCCCACCTGCCCACGTCCCAGAGCAGGCGGAGCCCTGGCACCTCCCTGGCACCTCCCTGTGGCCCGAGAAGGTGCAGCAGGAGGGTTGGGGGAAACTGAGGTCATGGCAGACCCTTGGCCACGAGCTGTCGAGTCCTCTCGCCCTGTCCCCCGTCGGCGAGTGCAGGTGTGAGCGTGGATGGGGGAGGAGGGGAGGGGGGAGGGAAGCAAGGAAGGTTCTGGAGGACCCAGCAGGCCAGCAGCGCACAAGGGCCGGAAGCGGGCTGGCTCTAGGGGAGCCCTTTCCTCCACTCACACCTCGTGAACCCAGGGCAGGGGTGAGGACGGGCCACGGCCCTGAGCTCAAGGCCGCGGCTGCTGACCGTGCCGTCTGCAGGGTGGCCTTCGGTGGGGAACACGGCCGACTGCCACGCCATCAGCCTCCAGCGCCTGCACGCAGGTGCTCACTAGTGACACTGGTCAGCAACCAGTGTGATTCCCACCGCTAACGCCTCCCTGCCGGTTCTGTAGGACTCCGCCCGGAGTGACGGCCACCTGGGAGCCCCTCTTCCCTGGCCCGAGCTCGAGGGTTCCCGGCAGAGAGGGGAGGTCGCACAGGTGACTCCAGCCGGAGCCCTGCTCGGTGGGGACCATGTTCATGCCACCGACGTGGAAACTGGGGCCCTGGGCCTGCTGACAGGCTGCCGGAAGGCTGCCCGACCTGGGCTGGGCAGAGGACTGGCTCCCTCAGCGCAGAAAGGGGGACCCACACCCCAAGGCAGCTGCGCGTGCCGGGAACAAAGGGACACCACCTAGGGGAAGGGCTTTGGGTGGAACAGCCGGGGTGTCACCGAGGGGAGACAGCCATGGGCTGGGCTAATGGGTCAGAAGGCAGAGGCCATGTCTGCCTTGTCCTGAGCCCAGAGGGCATGCTGGGTGCTGGGAGCGAGGGCTGGCAGGACCTCACACGAGCTGTGGCAGGATGGACAATCTATCTCACCCAGGAGGGGCTCCTCAGGACCACAGCAGAGCTCCTGCCCAGCCCCCAGGACACAAGATTCTCTCCAAGGAGACCAGCGGCTGTCACACTGAATGTCACACAGAGTCCGTCCCACAGACACCCAGCCTGTGGGGGACAGGACAGGCACAAGAACCCAGAGTGCACAGCAGCGTGGGCCACTAAACGTGGGGCAGGTGGCCTTCCACAGGTGCGCACAGGCAGGCACCTGGGCCTCAGTCGGTTTCACAAGGTGGGGCACGCAATGGGCACGCGATGGGCCCTTCGCTGGCGATGCCACAGAAACCAGGGCAAAGAGGTCTGGATCCTTAAGTTAGATCCTCTGCGACCCAGAGCGCCTAAGTCTCTAAGGTTTTTCTCTACCTAGAAAAACAATCGTGCAAGTGTGCACCTCAGAAGGGGGGGGGGGCGAGGGAACGGATCAAGGAGGACCAGGTGGACACGCTGGACGTCATCAAAGTCAAACTTCTGTGCATCGAAGGCCACCACCAAGGAAGTGAAGAGACAGCTCATGGCATGGGAGAAAAGATTTGCAAGTCAGTACCTGGTAAGGGTCTCGATCCAGAATATATAAAGAGCTCTTATAATTCAACAATAAGGAGACAAAGAAGCCAACTAAAAAAAATGGGCCAAGGATGTGAGCAGACATTCCCCTCGAGAGACAAAAGTGGCCAATAAGCACACGAGAAGATGCCCAGTCATGTCATCAGGGGATCTAAACCATGAGATGGCACTTCACCCCCCCAGTACTGTTAGACCCAGAGTGGAAAATGAGTACTGGTGAGGATGTGGGGAAACTGAGTCCTGGTTCAGCTAGTGAGCATGTGGAATGGTGCAGCACTGTGGAAGACAGCTGGGCAGCTCCTCACCAAGCTCCGAGAGGGCTGTGATATGACCCAGCAAATCCACTCCGGGTAGAGACCCAAGAGAAATGAAAACACATGTCCACACAAAATCCTGTACATGATGTCACACCAGGACTACTCATCACTCCCAGCAGGTGGGAACAACCCAATGTCCATCAACAGACGGATGAGAAACCAAATGGTGTGTTTTCTATTCAATGGAATATTACGTGGCCATAAAAAGGAATGAAGTACTGATGCCGGTTCCAACGTGGATGAAGCCGGCCATGAAAGGCCACGTGAGCACTGTGATTCCTTTTACACGAAGTGCCCAGAACAGGCAAATCCACAGAGACAGAGCGTTGGCAGGTGTTTGCCAGAGGCTGAGGGAGGGGGAAATGGGGAGCGACTGCTAATGGGAACAGGGTTTTTTGGGGGTAATGAAAATGTTCTGGAATTAAATAAGGTGATGGCTGCAGAAATTTGTGAATATGCTAAAACGCTGAACTGTACATTTTCTTTTCTTATTATTAAAAAAATTTTTTTTCTTTATTGATTTTATTTTATTTATTTTTCAATCCTCCCCCGAGGACATTTTTTCCATTTTTTGTTCAGACAGAGTGGGAGGGAGAGAGAGAGAGAAACATGGACGTGAAAGGGACACATCGAGTGGTTGCCACCTACACAACCCAACCAGGGCCGGGGACAAACTGCAACTGAGGTACGTGCCCCTTAGTGGGAACCGAACCTGGGTCTCTCTGGACCGCAGGCCGAAACTCTAACCGCTGAGCCAAATCGGCCAGGGCTCTTTATTGATTTTAGAGAAAAAAGAAAGGAGAGGGAGAAACAGAAACATCGATGAGAGAGAACATCAACTGGCCGCCTCCTGCATGCCCCCCACTGGGGATCAGGCCCACAACCTGGGCATGTGTCCTGACTGGGAATTGAACCCGTGACCTCTTGGTGCCTGGGTTGATGCTCAACCACTGAGCCACACCGGCCGGGCTGAACTGTTACTTTTCAAAGAGTGAATTATACCGAAAAGTAAGATATATATACATATAAAATGGGGGGGGGGGGTGATGGGCAGACGTCAGGGTCCTGTTACTAGTCACCACCCTGGCCCTGCCCACGCCTGGGCACAGCTTTCTCTCCCAACGACCTTCGAGAACCAGAGGACAATTCGGATGACGAGGCAATGGACGTCGTCAGTCACAGGCTCTTGTGGGATCAAAGCTAATCACCAATTACGGATTTAATGCGCAATTAAATCCACTTAATTTAATGTGGCCACATGATGGAGAAGAGCTGGGGGGAGGGGGCAGTCCTGAAGGACCCACACGCCCTGGGGTCAGGGGTCTAAGTCCTGACTCCATTGACTAGTCCTGTGACCTCGAGCAACGCACGATCTCTGTGCCTCAGTTTCTCTATCTGTAAAATGAAACAAGGTGCCCATTCTTCAGAGGTGCCATGAGGAGTTTAAGGCATGGCACAAGGCTGGCATAGAGCAAACTCTCAAAAGAAAGGCTGTTGTTATTACTTAACAGTGCCTGGCACTGAGTTCTGGATTGGCTACGAAGTTGCCCCAATAACCTAACTGGCCAGGAGCTCCGCAGCTCACGTCACCTGACCTCTACCTGTTTCTTAAGAAAGAATCATGGGGCTGTCGGGGGTGGGGATCCCGGGGCCCAGGGGCACATTTCTGCCTCCCCCACACCAGACACTCCTAAGGGAGACCAACTGCTCTGGACTGTCCCCGAGGGCTGACAGGGGCATGTGGTCTGGGGTCACAGTGTCCCGTCCCGCCCCCCGACTCTGTTTATGCTGCTGGTGGGGAGGTGCGGAAACTGCTGGAGGGTTGTGCTTTGCTCAGGAGTTTAGAAATATTTCCTTATGTTCTGTTGTTTAAACATCCAGCAGCTTCTTCAGCCTTGCGAGAAAACCCCTTTCCCTAAGCGGAGGCACAGCAGGGACCCGGGGCTGCTGTGGTCCTCAGATGAGCCTGAGAAAACCTGCCCAGGTCAACAAGCTCCTGCTCTCCCTCGCTGAGCCTCAGTGTATCTGCCCAGAAGGACCCTTCCAGCTGTCATGCTGGGGTGGGGAGGGCTGACCCGCCCCAATGACCCTTCTGTTCCCGCCTTGAGCGGACGAGGTCTGCACGACAGGGGTGGAACAGCACGGAGGCGGCACAAGCCTCCTGGTAGCAGCTGTGTGGCCCTGGGCAAGTCCCTCGCCCTCTCTGAGCTGTGGCCGCTCCCCTAGAACACAGCACTACCGGGCTGGCCCGGCAGAGTCCCTGGAAGCCAGTCTGTCCGGGGCTCCTTCCCAAGTGCTCATTCCTCAGCCGCTCAGGAACGAGGGGCGTGCGGCGGGCGTTAATGGCTTTTCCGGAACGACACTCCCGTCATTAGGCAGGTGGGCCCTTCCTCTCTCACAGAATAAATATCTTTCCTGATGCTCATCATCAGTGGGGAATGTGGGCGTTATTCTGAGCCACTGTCCAAGTCCCGCCCTGTGTCCCCCGCACGGATGTGCTCGGGAGGGGTGCTGAAGGCCCGCAGCCCGGGAACTGTCGTCCCCACGGCGGTCACTGCCTCCTGCAGCTGTCAGGGTGGAATCGTGGGCGAGGCTGGTGGACGGGTAGGGGGTGCCTGGCGGGGCTCCCACCCTGGCAGAGCCTCCCCTGCCTCTCACAGGCCCGGCCTGGGACCGGACGGGACAGCCACTCACCGGACGCCTTCGTTGAGGCTGAAGAGCTCCTGGTCGGGCAGCCCCTTGCGCTGGAAGACGGCGATCACCCCGTTGTGGATGCTGCAGGTGGGGAGAGAGGAGTGCTGAGTCCAGGCGCCCCCGGACCCTCCGGCCTCCCCCGGACCTCCCCTCGGCCCCTCTCCGCCGCAGCCTTCCTGCCCGGGTCAGGGAGCAGAACGGCCGGCCGTTCGGTCAGACAGGGCACCTGGAGAGCAGGGACCCGTCGACCCGCAGGGTCCGACCCACACCAGCACCTCAGTTCCCAATCTGACCCCAAGATCCTGCGCCCCAGCAACCTCCTGTCACCTCTCCAGGACACCCTATGGACCCCACACATATTCTGCTTCCCTTTCCGTGCTCCTGAACCCTCCAAGCCCAGAAACTGGGGCCACCCTCTGATGGCCTCTCGTCCCCCAAAGTATCCAAGTCCCATTGGCTTTCTCGCCCTGGGCTTCAAGGTGCCCCTGCGGCCCGCCTCCCTGATCTGCACCAGCCCTGCCGGGGGAGCCACCTGCAGGTCCTCTCTGCTGCTTGGTCCTCCCCCTGTCCCTGCCTTCAGCTCACAGGCGGCCGCCTGCTTCTGTGTGATCTGCTACATCGTTTCCACCGCGACCACCGAGCGCAGGGCCCTGTGCTGCTCCGGACTGTGTGCCCTGCGCCCGGCTCAGAGAGCAGCATGGTATCTGATGAAATTCATCCTGACGCACTCACCCTCCAAATCCAATCGACCCCGCCTCCTCCATCTCTGCTGCAGCCTCCTCTCCCTCCCAGCCCCGGGCCCCTCCCCGCTCGCCCGGACCTCGGATTACGCCTACCGGCCTCCCCACATCTGCTGCAGCCGGTCACTCCCCTGCCCAGGCACCACCGCCCAGCAGGCACAGAGCAAGGCCTGGATGTGGCGTTCGAGGCTCCTCAGGAGAGAATGCTCCCCTCCCTCACTCCCGGGCATCCTACACACGAATCCAAGTGCTGGAGCTGCCTGGGGACCACACCTCTGGGTCTCTGTCTCCCCTGCCTCTCCTGCCTGGAGGGCCCCTCTTCTCTCTGCCTACTAGGCAAGCAGCTATTCATAATGGAGCCTTGACTCAGAGACCACCACCTCCATGAAGCCCTCCTGACTGCTTCCCCTCCCTGTGTAGACTCATGTCCCAGCACTTTGCTGATTCACTTTCCTGTTGTACCTCCCACTGGCCACGCCGCTCCCAAGGGTGAGAACCAGGTCCCACCACCCTCCACCCTGGTTCTGAACCTCACCACTTCGGACTGGCTGCATGGCTCTCGGTGTGCAGGGGACAGCTGGACACACGCTGCTGGCCACATCACAGAGCGGGCCGTGGCCACCGAGCTCTGGTGCCCTTGTCTGCCTTCACCAGCTCCACCCTTCCCAAAAACATGGACTGGCTGTCCACTTTTCAGATGGGGAGACTGAGGCTCAGAGGCAGAGTTCCGTCTGGGAAGCCAGACTCGCCCAACAGCTGCTGCCCTGCCCCTGCGGCCTCCCCCGGGAGCCAGGTCTGTGCTGGGTCCTGGCTCTGTAGACAGGGCAGGGGAGGGGCCCCACGTCCCCGGTGGGTGAAGCAGCAGTGTGGGGACGTGCCCAGGTTCCACAGCTGACCCCAGCTGGGCCAGGCTCTGAGACCACACTGGACGCTCGCCACCTGACCCAGGGAGCCCGACGACTCCGGGTCCGGCGTTGGAATGCTGCTTATTCACATGACCAGGGACACAAGTCCTCGAACCTGTCTCCTGTCTAGGAAACGGGGTCGCGTGTGTGCCTGCCCCCAGGTGCTTCGGATGAAATGCCGGCCTGGCCAGGGCTCAGCTTCAGTGCTCGGTCAGGCCAGGAGAGGGTTCGCCTGTTCCAAGTCCCTGGTGGGCCCAGCTCCCCGTTTACAGACAGAAAAAGAAAAAACCCAATGGGAAATCTAATGGCTGCTAGGAAGCAGCTGGGGACCCCCCCCAGCCTGTGGGGGCTGCTGGGGGTGGAGACATTGTGTGGGAGCCCCACCCAGCTGTGTGTCTGGGGTGGGGTGTACCAGCCACTCTGGAAGCTCAGAGGGACCTGGCCAAGGTCTCCCTGGGACCCGAGTCAGGCAGGTGGAGCCCGGAGGCCCTCGAGGCCTCGGTGACCCCCAGGCCTAGAGCTGTGTTCTCAGGGACGTACGCTTACCAGCCCTGCTGTCCTTCCTCTTCGCCCCCTAAACCTTCTGGAGGGACCCAGGCCCACTCTGGTCCCCCGTCCAGAGGTGACCTTACACCACATGGCTTTGGAAGGCCAGGCGGGCAGGCTGCACCCCTCAGGGCTCGGCCCCTCCATGACTCTCGCACCACCTTTCCCCTGCTCCTGGCCTTTGTCCCTGCGGTTCCCTCATCTGGAGGCTGGCCTCCACCCACTTCCCAACCCCCCAGGAGGCCAGGTGCCTCCTTCACACCTGTGTGGGGAGAGTACCCGACCCCGTCTCCTGTTTGGGTTACTAATTAGTCCCCACGCACCTGGCACGGGGGCAGCAGAGCGTCACCCAAGGCGGATCTGTGGTGAGGAGGCAACACCTCGCATCTGTCAGCACTTGGGTCTGAGCAGCCCCGCCCACCCAGGGTCACCCTGAGCCCTCCATCCGCACGGCCACCTCCAGCCCCCACCCAGGCTGTTTCGGAGGTGGGTGTGGGTTTGGACGCCAGCTCTGGGCTTCCTGGCGTATGTCTCAGACAAATACTCCGGCCGCCTGTGCCTCAGGGTCCCCATCCACACAACGGGGTTCCTAATCACAGCCCCTAAAGGAGACAATAGGGCAGGTGACAGCACGCCGCGGGTGGTCACGGTGTGGGTCAGCAGCGGCTCTGGGGAGGGGTGTGACCCCAGGGGCATTGCCAACAGCTCGGCCACCTGCTCTGTGGTTTTCTCAATCTCTTCCTTCTAACCACCGTACCAGGGGGGACTGTCACACCCAGGTCGCTGAACACGGAGGCGACAGCCTGGAGCCCCGGGCCCACCGTCCTCCCTCCCAGACGTGGCAGTGGGAGTCGGGCCGGGGCGCAGGCAGGACCCAGCTCCTTCCCGTTTCTCTCCGGCTGAGGTTCCGTGTTCCTTTCAAAGTCCGAGCTGGGTAAACAGAAAACCTCGCTGTGAGCCACTGGGGGAGGAAGGGCAGAGAGGGTGAGAGGACCTCCCGCGACTGTCAACCCCAAAACAGAAGTGAAACCCCAGCTGTGCCCGCTGCTTCCTAGACCAGGGGTGGGCAGGCCCAGCCAGGGGAGGGCCGCGGTCCCAGGGCAACTGCGGGGGCCTCCTGGCACTCCCAGGAGAGACCTTGACCCATCGCCTCCCTCCGGCTGCCGCTCCTCACCGGGCGACCGCTCATGGGGCCGGTCCCCTCCTCAGGCAGGAAGGCGGGACGCAGGGCCAAGTCCCAGCCTCTCCTGCCTGAGCACTGGGTGGGCACAGGGCCGAGGTCAGGACCCTCAGTGAGGCTCCAGGGTGCCCAGGATGGGGCTGGTGGGAAGGCTGCCCAGGACTGGGGAAACGTGAGGCTGTGAGGAGGGGCCAACTGTGGGGCTCCGGGCCCTAGGACCCCCACTGCGGGCTCTCCGGCCCAGTATCACCTGTGTGTTGCCCACCTACCGGGCAGAAAGTGAGTGGGTGGGGGCCGCCCAAAGCCTCGTCTCTGGTGGGTCAGGCTGATGGGACATCTGGGGACCCCTGGAGGTGGAGCCCTGCCCTTCCTCGGCCCCTACCCTCTCTGGCCCTGGCCTCCGCAAGTGTCCCCTCTCCCTGTGTGGTGCCCAGAGGACCGACCGCTCCTCAGCAGGGCCCCTCTAGCGTGCCCCTGCCCTGCCCGCCAAGGGTGACCGGGGAGCCAGCGTCCTCCTCTCTGCCCCGGGGTCGTGCCCAGCCCCGAGGAATGAAGCGGGGGACGGCCCGCCTCCTCTGCACGCGCAGGTGGGAAGCACAGAGGCAGGTGCCTGGGACAGTCCTGCCCCAACCTAGGCCCTGACTGGAGCCCCGGGGAGGTGGGGGTGAGAAGAGACCTGTGGGCAGTTTTACCTGCTCCAAGCAAACAGGTATCACTCACACCCTGGTTCCGGTCCACCTTGGCTTAAAATCACCCCCAGGGCTGCTGCCTGAGCAGGAGGCCCCCCGCTGACCCCCGCTCCAGGCAAGGGGCTCACCTGCCTGGAGGTGGGCACCTGCGTGGGCTCTGACCCACCTGCCCTCGGCTGCAGAGGGGAAGATGGACGCTGTGGGTGGGGGAGGTGGTGGCCAGGGCACTTGGTGGGAGGAAGGGAAGCCCTGTGTGTGGCTGTCCTGCGGCCGCTGTGACCACTGACCACAGACCTAGAGGCTTAAAGCAAGTCGAGTTGCTTCTCTGCAGGTCTCTCAGCTGGAAAGTCTCCGGCGGGACCGGAATCAAGGTGTGGGTGGGCTGGCTCCTTCCGCAGGCTCCAAGGCAGAACCTGACCTTTCCCGGCCCCAGAGGCGCCGCATTCCTGGCTCGGCTCCTCCCTCCATCCACAGCTCTGCTCCCCTCAGCGTGTCCCTCCATCTCTCATCCGAGTCTCCCTCTCCTAGAGACCCCTGTGGGACACCGGGCCCCCGGATACTCTCCCTCTCCGAAGATCCTGAACCACACCTGAAAAGTCCCTTTCGCCCTACAGGGTAACGTACTCACAAGTTCTGGGGAGCCAGGGTGTGGGCATCTTGGGGGATCATTCCTCCACTGACCACACGCAGGCTGCCTCAGAGGGGCAGGGACTCGGGATCTAGGGCCCGACCTGCAGCGAGGAGGTGGGGGTCTGACAGGCCCTCACTAGCCTCTGACCCCCACTCTCAACCCACCTCCTCTGGCCTCTCAGCAACCCCCACGGCGGCAGAAGGCTCTGGAGTTGGACCCGGAGGGTCCCTGTCACTCTCTGAGCCTGGTCTGCAAGACGGGCGACGTGAGTCCCACCTTGAGTTGCTTCAGGGACGAAAGGTGCTCCTCCTACCTGAGTCTGGATGGGGCGACACCATCTGGGGGACAGGATGTCATGGCCCCTCAGCAATGCTGAGGTCTGGGTGGGGAGCACTCTGTGGGGTGGGGCCAGGGCAGTGTAGACCGGGGGGCGGGCTCCAACCTCTGAGCTCTCGCCCACAAACCAACATCGCCCAGCCCCAGTGGGACACGAACTCACACGTGTCCTTGGGCTGTGGCTTCAGCCCCCAGACCCCATGAGCTGACAGCGAGCTCCCAGCCTCGGAGGCGGGTCTGTGGGGAGAGGGACGTGTCACCTGCACCCGTGGGCCCGCGCCCTCCTGCCCACGCTCAGCTCTCATCCATCCTGCATCTCGGTGGGGTTTGCACCGGGCTCTCCGAGCCTCCAGCATCCGGGCAGATCCGGGCCCAGCGAGGAGCAGGATGTCACAGCGGTTAGCACCCTCTGACCCAAAGGCAGGTGTAGGGGACCAGTGGTGGGTTCTGGGGAGCTCCCTCCACCCTCATCTCTCACAACAGAAACTTCATGGAGAGGGAGGCCCCACACATACATGGTCCCCACCTTGAGGAGGGGGGCATGAGGGACTCCGATGGGAGCGGCAGGTGGCCTTCTAACCTCCCCCCACCCAGCCTCTGCAGCCCGAGCACCGAGCTTGGCCCACGGGGGCTTGGCCCACGGGAGACGCCTGTCTCACAGAGCAGCAGGTGCCGGGGAAACAACCCTGTTCCAACTGACAGTCTGCGAGGGCGGCCAGCCTGGCACCCACCTCTCAAACGCTCTGCACCCCGACCGGAGGGAACGGAACACGGGCCGCAGCGCGTGTGGCCCGCAGGCGGTGTCACCGGGTTTACCTTGCTCCTAGCACCAAAGCCAACCTGCAAACACCTCACTGGTGTACTTGTGTCCTGTATACTCCCTGGAGGCCTGGACTGAAGCTCTGGGCGGCTGTGGACTCTGCTGACCGGATGCCCCGGGCTCAGCCCAGTGCTGGAGAGTTAATGAGTGAACGAGTGAAAGAAGGAACAAACGTCCGGGCCGGTGTGGCTCACTGGCTGAGCGTCGACCCTGCACCAAGAGGTCGCCAGTTCGATTCCCGGTCAGGGCACATGCCCAGGTTGTGGGCCAGATCCCCAGTGCGGGGCGGCCAATGGATGCTCTCCCATCGATGTTTCTCTCTCTCTCTCCCTCTCCCCTCCCCTCTCTCTAAAATCAATAAAGAAATTTAAAAAGAATGAATGATTGCATGGCTAAGAGATGCACGGATTCCAATCTCACAAAATGGAGGCAGAGACTGGAGTGAGGTGGCCACCAGTCAAGGATCCGCCGGGAACTGGGAGAGAGGCAGGGAAGACCCTCCCCTGGAGCCTCCGGAGGGAGCACGGCCCCGCTGACACCTTGATTTTGGACTTCTGGCCTCCAGAACCATGAGAAAATAAATCTGTTGCTTTAAGTCACCCAGTTTGTGGTGATGTAGTACAGGGGCCCCAGGACACTAACGTGATCACACAGATAAAAGGGGGTACATTTGGACTCAAAACGGGGAGTCGACTCAGCAAGGCAGGACGGACTGCAGCAGGTCCTGCCTCTGGTGCGGCTATTGTCCGCTGGGCCCGGCAGGGAGCACTGCAGAGCCCAGCGGGCCCCGGCCCCATTAGAGCTGCGCAGGCCCTGGCAGGAGAAGGCTCCACTTGGCTCAGCCCCTCCTCTGCCTGGGGAGGGGACAGGAGGACTCGGGCTCGGCCTTGTTCTCCGTGGGCTGGTCTCCCAGGGCTCTGTGTCCCCCTCTGTACCTCCCTGGGCTATGTTGGTGGCAAAGTGAGCCGCGGGACATGAAGGGGACTGACCCACAGAAGTGCAGGGTTGGGGGGCAGCTGAGCGGGAGCCTTGAGGTGCTCGCTGTGGGGAAGGGCATGTTCCTCTGCCGCCTGCCAGGCCCGGGAACAGAACAGAGCTGAAGCTCCAAAGCTCCCTTAAGTGCAAAGAGGCTGAGGGACCCAGGTGGCCTCTCCCAGAAGACTCAGAGCTGGCCCCAGGGTTCCCCACTGGCCCGGGGGACCCCAGCGGGGCTGACCACAAAGGGTGCGGCTCACGAAGCTGCAGTGGGTGAAAACTCAGGAACCAGCAGACTCCCGAGGAGCCGCCCCAAACTTCAACCCCACAAGCCCACCCCGACATGAGTTCGGGCTTGACTTATGAGTTACAGAGGACCCACTACACGCCAGACACTGTGCCGAGAACGTTAACACCCATCTTCACATTTAATCCCTACAACAGCCCACTTTATGGGTAAGGAAATTAGGGAGCAGAGAGGGTAAGTGACTTTCTCAAGGCCACACAGCAGGGAAGAGGCAGAGCTGGGACTGGAACTAAGTCTGTTTGGCTCTTTCCACGAAACCACAGTAGACACAGGAGCAGGCAGGCAGCTCTGTCTCCTCAGCTCCAAGAGGATAAAACCGCTGTTAAAAACAGTGCAGTCACTGGGTCCATGAGGTTCCCCAGTAGAGTGTTTCTTCCACTGTCCCCACATGGGTCCTGTGAGAAGGAATGTGCATGCTCTGACAGCTAGGGAAACTGAGGCAGACACGTCCCAGCCCTCAAGCAGTTTGCAACTTGGGAGGGGTCTGAAGACAAGCACTGGTGGGTGACAAAGTGTCCTGCCTGGTGCTCGGAGGGTCTCAGTTTGGCAGCCCTGTGCCACCACGATGCTCATGAAGTCTGGCCAAGACCACAGCTGGAGGAACACCGGGCAGGATTTCACTGCCAGGTGTATGTGGTGGGGGGACAGCATCCACAGCCCCCCCAAACCACCTCACTCTCCTCCTCGTTTTCCTTTCGGTGGAAATATCTATTTTTGAAAAGGGCCGGTGAACAGCCACGCTGGGGAATCCCACTAAATAAACCATCTCTTTTCCGGATCCCAGCCTTGCTCTTCAAACAAAGCTAGGAGGGTGGAGGGACTTCCCACGCCCCTGCCTGTCTGGGAATGGCCCCTGGGGGAGGGTCGTCTGAGGAATGCGGGGCAGCTGCTGCACCCCTGCTGACAGCCGGGAGGACCAGGGGCCGCTCGAGGGAAAACCGCCCGCCCACCCCATCTGAGCGCAGAGACAGGAAGCGCAGCAGCAACCGACCGACTGCGCCCGGGAGGCTCATCTGCGAAATGGGAAAAATACTTCCTGCTGTATTATCTCCCGGGTTGCCATGAGCACTGCAGCGGAGACGTGGGAAGCCCACGGGTGGGAGGCCGGCACGCGGGCTCTCGCCCACCCCAGCCCCCACGAGCCGGGCGCTTCGGGACCAGCCCGGGTCCGTGGTGCGGTCCCTCCGTCCTAGAAACACGTTGCACTAAACTTCCCTTCCCGCCCGCCCAACTCCGGCGGAGCAAGTTCTTGCGAACTGCGAAGTGCGTGGTGTCCACGCACCGCTCCCCGCAGGGGCTCGTCCTCGCCCGCGGACCGGACCGCGGGCTCCCGCCCTCCGGCTTTGGGCCCGGGCCCTCGGGGCCGGGAGGGCGCGGCCTTACCTGTTCCAGGTGGCGTTGGCACAGGCCCGGCGCTGCTGCGTGCCCCGCTCGTCCGCGGAGGCGGCGGCCGGCTCTCTCTTGCCCAGGTCACTGAGGCTGGGCGAACTCATGAACTTCAACCTGCGGAGAGTCCTCATGGTGACCCCGGCGGCCCGCGCCGCGCCCACGCGCGTCGGACGCCGCGCCCTGCGCCACGCGCCCAGCCGCGCCGCGGGCCCCGGCCGGCGCTGCGCTCACTACGAGGAAACTTGGGAGACAGCAGGAAGCCGAGCGGCCCTCCGGGGGCCCGCCCCGGCTCCACGCCTCCGCCCCGGGCCCGGCGCCGGCCGGCCCTCCGGGTTAATCATTGCCCGGAGCAGCGGCAGCGTGGAGCGCCAGGAGCACGGCGGGCAGCGCGGACCCGGCGCAAACAGAGGCCGGGGGCGGGGCCGGGCGGGCGGGGCTTGCGGCCGGGGGCGGGGCCGGGCGGGGCGGGGCTTGAGGCCGGGGGCGGAGCGGGAAAGAGGGCGGGGCTGTGCGGGGCCAAAACGGGGGCGGAGCCGTGAGCTGGGGGCCAGGCCGGCGCCTCTTCCTCAAACCCCCCCAGCCTGTCCCCTCCCGGGTGTGCTCCACCCGCTCCGCTCTTCCGAAGACCACACGTGCCCGCAGGAAACCAACACGCACGTAGGAACCACCCAACCCCAAGCGCCTCCTGACGCCCCTCCTGAACTCCCCCACCCCGCAGTGCCTCAACCACAGTCACCCCTCCTCCCCGTCCCTCCCCACAAAGGCTGTGTTCACACAGATCCCTCAAGATCCTACCACAGGGACCTCTCCGTGGTTCCCATGAAAACAGGCAAAGCCTCCAGCGCCCTGGGGCACCTCAGGCCAGGACCCCACCCACCTGGCTACTCGAACCAGCCTCCTCTGGCCTGGAGGAGTTGCCAAATTGGGGGCTTGGGGGAATCAGGAGTGGCCTCCCCAGGGCAGAGACCTGCAAAGCTGTGGCTACTCCCCCCCCCCCAGGTCTTTGGGATGATAAGAGCAAGTGGGTTCCCTAAGTCCCCATAGCTAGTGAAGAGTAACCTCACTGCGGGGAGCCCCCTGCCCGATTGGCACAGCTCTTTCAGATGCTTGATCTCAGGCCAGTCCCCCTGGAGGAGGGAGGACTTTCCCATTTCCCAGTTGAGGAAGCGGGCTCAGAGGGTGAAGCAACTTGCCCAATGTCATACGGTCAACAAATGACAGAGCGGGGCCTAACCCAGGCCTCCTGAGTACACGGCACAGACCCACCCGCTCGGCTTCTGGGATCCCCACAGGGTCCACCCACCCCCTGCCCCCATCATCAGACCGCAGCTGTGCCCTGGTCTCCCGCCCTGGCCTCTCCTGGAGCTACGCCCGTGCTGAGTAGGTCCTGGTGTCACCAGAGCCCAGCCCCATGTCTTCCCATAAATGCTATCCCCCCACCGCCCTGTGAATCCATGGGGGGCGAGGAGGGGCTGTCCTAGAATCTCAGCATGAGAAGGATGCTGAAAGCCCCTACCCCATGTTGTACAGAAGAGGGAGACAGACCCAGAGGCCCCTGGGTCCCCTATCCCAGAGTGTGTGCACCCTCGCTGGCGGAGACCAAGCACCTGCTCCCTGGGAAAGAGGCTCCCTCCCGTGGGGTGGGGGTGGGGCACAGCTGTTCAGGAGCCAGCTCGGTGGGACACACTGTGGGGCGACATTATTCCCACCCAGACAGAAACCTGCACTCAGCGTGAAGGAGGCAGTGGATGGGGTTGGCCAAGGCCCAGCTGAGCAGCGAAGGGGCGTCTCCTGCGGCCCCAGGAGCCAGGAGAGCCCATCCGGGTGTAAAGTCTTGAGAGCAGACCCTGTCCAGGTCAAATCACTAGCACTTCCTGAGCTCCTACTGTGCGCCAGGCGTCACCCTTGTCCCAGGGAGGCAGACATTGCAGATAGACTCTCAGCTCAAAATCGAGGGTGTGGACACCTTCGGCCCCCGGGCTGCCATCTCCCAGGCTGAGGCCCGCGTGACCTGACGGGTGCCCCTTCCTCGTGGTCACCCAGTCAAGCCCCTGGTGGCTTCTCACCCCGTTAGAAACACCTGTGGATTCTGCCTCCTCCACCTCCACTGTCACCTCTCTAGGCAGAGCTGCTGGTGTCTCTGGCCAGGAAGAGACACCTCCTCACCCCCCCTCCAGTAAGGGGGCCACACAGGACACCTCTCTTCCTCACGGTGGTCGGAGAGATCCTTGCTTGGCATCCTGGTGGGTTCCGGTTCCCACGGCCTGAGGATCAAGTCCAAAGCCTGGAGGGCTTGAAAGAGCCTCCCCCACCTGTGCCCTCGCCCCCCAGCATGTCTTTCCCGTCCCCTGACTACCTTTACCCTGGGTGAGACTCAGAGGTCGCCCTCTGGTCATTTGGTGGCTTTTTTGTCCTATGCCATACGCCGAACAGTGGTGACTTCGACACTCGGTGCCCCCCGCGCACCGGGCGCCCCTCACGCAGCAGGCACGCAGCAGTCTTTGGTTGAATGGCTGGAGCCACACCTGTCTCACAGGAGGGAGGGATTGGACCGCATTGGCACAAACACCAGAGAAAGGTGCCATCCTGGACGAACGGAGTTAGAGCACGGGTGCTGGCCCGGTGAGACGGGCCCGGTGAGGCCTTCCCAAGCTGGAGGCAGGCTCTGCGGAGGGGCTGGCTGTGTTCCTCAGCACACAGGGGGGAGGGCCCCTGGCTGCCCGCGGGCTGGACGGGCCAGCTGGTGGGGAGGAGGCTGGACTCTGGGAGGGGAGGGGTGGCCGGGAGGGCGTCATGGTGGAAGGAGGGCTGGGCTGCAGCAGGGGTCTGGGAGAGGTGGGCATGGCCCAGGGGTTTAACAGCCAGCTGGACCAGTGTTAAGGAAGCAGCTGTACCGGCCAGGCCCCGGGAGTCTGCACCCCACAGCCCAGGGCCAGGTGCCCTGGGACTCAGGTGAGGTGCTGGTGACAGGCAGAGACGGACAGCAGGTGGTGGTGGTGGGTCGACAGCCCAGGGAAGCAGCAGCCCCAGGGCCACAGAATCTGAGGCAGAGGCCAGGAGGGACCAAAGCCATCACAACCCCCCAGGGCAGGGGCATTGGGCGCCAAGGGCCAAGCCCAGCCCTCAGATGCGTTTTGCACAGCCTGTGGGGGAGACCCGAACCAGGAGTGCGTGCCTCCAAGGCTTTACAATGGAGGGATTGACACGGAAACCTCATTTCTGGCTTCCCAAGAAGCATCAGATGACCGGGCCTCCTGGGCCTGGGCCCCACGTGACAGCTGTCACTGCTGCCCCCGCAGCAGGCTCAGGGCTCCAGGTGCCCACAGGCCTGCCGCTCACTTCTGGGGTCTTCCGGGCCTGCTCAGGGGCAGGCGACTGAGCAACTGTATTGAGGGGTGGCCCTGGGCAGGGCCCATCTGTGCTTGAGAGTCAGGAAAGGGAAATGCTCTCTTTCAAAGGGGATGGGAGCCCTGGCCAGTTTGGCTCAGCGATTGAGCATCGGCCTGCAGACCAGGGTCCTGGGTTCAGTTCCCACTGGGGCATGTACCACAGGAAAAAAAAAAAATTAACCTAAAGGGGATGGGAGGAAAGGGGGACCCATTCACATGCCCCCAAAGTTTCCAGAGTGAGCTCCTGTCCTCCCCCAGGATCTACGTCCCCCTGGCCAGCAGGGTGTCAGCAGCTGGGACAGGACCCTGGTCAGCATGTTGGACCCCCGACCCTCAGGGCTTGCCCTTCTGATGGGAGAGGGAACCCTCCACTGGGTGGTCAGAACTTGGGTCCACCTGGCCCTGCTGTCAAGTCAGCTGACTGCTAGGGCCTCGGTTTGGGTTTGCCCATCTGTAAGATGGGTGAGGTTAGGGTTGGACCCCTGCCTTCTTCCCAATAGAGCCTCTGCCGTTGGCGGGGCAGGGAGCTGAGGACCCTCCAAGCCCTTCAAAGGCCACACGCACCCTGTAGATAGACGTGGCTGGAGACGGTGACCCTGGCGTCTGATTTGTGTGATATGACTGCACCGAGGGGCTGGCCCAGAGGTCCATCTTCACAAGCACAGCACGGGGATCTGCAGGACGGGCCTGGCTGCAGCTGGGAACCCGGGAACCGAGATCTTGGGGGGCCGGGCCTCCTGAGGATAGCTGCTGAGCATCGCAGGGGAGCTGCTACCTGGGCTGCACCCCCAGCCTAGCACAGCCTCCCACTCCCTTCTTCACAGACGGAAGCCTGAGGTCCGGGGACCCGGGGCGGCAGCGATCAGGGCCTCTCTGAGCCCAGGAGTAGGGACCTCAGGTACACCTGGCCGAGTTCACAGCTCCATGCCTCCAGCCTGGGTGTGAAGCAATGGGGCTAGTCTGTCCCAAAGGGGCTGGGTGAGAGGCAGGGCAGAGGGCGGCCACTTGAGTCACACTGCCTCTTCTAGTCCTCGTGGGGCTGCCAGGCAGGGGTTACAGATGGAGAAACTGAGGCCCAGGAAGCCAAGGTCAGAGTCAGCGTGGAAGCGGGAGCCAGGCCCGCTGAGCAGGAGAGAGACTGGCCACCTCTGTTACCTCGGCCGGCCATGACTTCAGCAGTGCCCACCACTGGGCACTGCCAGTTCTGAGGGGCACTTCTGCCCCCTGGTGGTGAGGCCTGGTGTCCCCTGAGCTGACGGGAAAGTCCTTCCCACTGGCTGGGGAGCCCTGGGTCAGAGGATACTCTCAGGAAGGCGCGTAGCGGTGTGCCAGGCACGGGCAGCCATCTCATCCCTTCTCTGGGAGGGACAGAGATGGTCACACACCTGCCCCGTGAGGGGGTGAGGTGGGAGGAGACGACGCACACAGTCGTGGGGGACACGCCAGCTCCCACGCTAACGGGGACCCAGCACAGAGCAGGCCCTGGATGAACAGCAGTCGCAGATTCTTTACTTGGATCAACATCGTGAACAGAGGCAACGCCGGCAGAATGCAGGGTGGGGGAGCTAGGCCACCACCACCGGGTGCCGTCCTCCAGCCTCCTGCCCGGCCCGCACACTGGAGTTGAACACCGAGAGGGCAGTCTTGCCATGGCGGCGTAGCTCAGTTGGTGAGAACATCGTCCCGATACACCAAGGTCGTGGGTTTGATCCCCAGTCACGGCACGTGCAAGAATCAACCAGTGAATGAATCAGTAAGTGGAACAACGGGTCCGTGTTTCCCTCCCTTCCTCTCTCCCTAATCAGCGAAGAAAAGCGACGGCTGTGCTGGGGCCCCGTGCGCTTCCTGGCCTGCATGCCCGGGGGGCACCCCGCGATCGTCCCCACCGTGCGGCAGGGAGACGGAGGCCACGGGGCAGCGGGGACAGGCCGGGCTTGACCTCCAGCTTTCTAGTCTCCCCAGGGCACCTTCTTGGCCAGCAGCCTCTTCTTAGAAGAATCCTTGGGCGGAAGGAGCACCCTGC